AGCATGCCCAGGACAGATGTAATGCACAAGAAAGTTTGCTGCGCCTAAAATATCTACCTGAACTGTACCTAACCTATGATTTTTCAAAGTTCAATAAACTGGGCGAATTTCAATACAGATATCAAAAGGGCATGTAGCCGACAGATGCCTAATCATTATCAAATTTCAAGTTCCTGCTCTAAACACAACCGCTAAACCTTTTCGAATGAAAGGTCACCAGAATGGAACATGGAAAAAATAATGTATTTTTCAAAACAGTTGCATCCTATTGGCTGAAAATTGCCAAAGATTATAAGGCTAAGGCAGGCAGACAGCACAGAAAATTTCAACACATGTAAACTTTAAGCAACCGATAGTAGCACGGAAGTATCCACAACTTTAAAAACAGACAATGTTATCAGCTCCAGGTCATCATCGCGGGTCATATCTAAACTGTGGCCATTCTAATAACCAACTCACCCAACCAATAACCACTTCCTCTGAAGTAATTTCTATGTTACTATTCTATTGGCTGTGATGAGTCAGTGTTGTAAAAGAATGGATCCACAAATCAAGAATTTTGATTGGTAGATGACTCACCCCCAGTGTCACTGGTAGTTCAGACATCAATAGCCAAAAGACTCCCCATAACATTACTCTCTTTTTCAGTCCATTGTGCGGAGGCATCATCAAAAGCAAAAATAAAGAGTACAGGAGAGTCCTTATAGCATAGGAACAGTGGGATTTAGGCTCCCTCAAAGCAGTTCCTCTTCTCATAGTCAATCTTTCATAGAACACTTAATCTGCAGAAGTACATACACATCCTACTTCGCCCGTGCTCTTGTCCACCCTAGTCTTTTAATCACTAACATCTTAATCACTATCATGCTTCTTACATACAAGTACTTCTGTAGTCCCCTTCATTCTCCTGGAACCTCAAAGAAATGGTTCTCAAGTACCTGTGTATGCATGTGTGTTAAACAGTTTCCTGAGCTCCAATCTCAGAGCACAGGGGAGCTGAAAAAAATATTACCATGTGCTGCCATTCAAACAAGTGCCTTAGGTACACAGAGACTAAGCTAACTCCTGAGTCTTCACACAGGATCTTTGTACACATAACCCTCTTACCTTTCTCACACTTTCATGTACTTACCTGAACTATTCAGTATTGCTACTGAAGTCTCTCATCCTGCACATTCACCTTTCACACCACACTTTCCTTCATCACCCCTACCACTCTCACCTCTAATTCCCACAAGCTCTTGTTGTCGTCTGATCTCATCCCCTTACTGCTCACTTTATCTCTATCTTTCACAGCTTAATAGTTTCATATTCTGAAAATGTATTTGCTACTTACCTGTCTGTATTTTAACATATAATAGTGAAGGCCTATATTTTAACATGTAATACTGCAGGCTATCAATAAGGCTATACACCCAGTATACCAAATGATGTAGAAAGACAAAATTAAATGTATTAACTGAAAAAGAAAAATGAATCAGACAGATAATTATGTGCCAAATGCTTTGAGCAATCAATAGGAACACCACGGAAACCTGTCACTGAACACAAAGGTTCTTTTCTTCCTTCTCTCAAGCATATAGTTTTCAAATGCAATGAAGATCAGTTCCTTCTTGGTCAGACACTGCAGCAAATGCATTTTGCTGACAACATTCCACCTCCCAGTTGCCCACATCTAGAAATGCACTTCAATATATAAGTGTAAAAATAAGGACCTTATGTTTTCAAATTCATGTATTTAATGATTTTTTTTATAACTTCATACGATCTAAAGTACCTCTGAGAACCTGCAAGTATTAATAGTACTTTAGAAGAGGGACATCAGTACTGAACAGCTTAGTAGCAGCATGAAACAAAGTACCACAGCAAGCACTATGATCCAAAAGTCATAGACCTCAAAACAGAAGTTTTAAAGAGTGAGAATATTTAACCCCCTACATTTTCTTTTTTCTCTCTCAACTCAGTGCAGTAGGGTAAAGGTCTTCATACCTCAAGCTTTTTTTTGTACCGTATTCTTCTGTTTTTCCTTGGTCATTTAAAAATATGTCCCTAATATTTAAAAGGACTCTTACATACATCCCATGTCCTTTTCCCATTGGATGAAGTCAGGTAGCACTTCTACCTTTCTGACATGAATTTGTAGTCATAGAAATCATGAAGTTTCCCAGACCTTCAAATTAAACAACCTATTTGTCAATTAAGAAAAAAATAAATACCATGTACAGTATCTGATCCATCTGTAAGTTCACTGGATATAATAATGAACTTGTATCTTTGAAAAAGATCCAGCTTAAATAAAACTGTATGCACATAACGAAAGTTATATCAGCTAAGAGAAAACTTTTATTTCTTAAACTTTTCTCCCTGTGAATGTTTTCATTTAAGAAAACATGATGATGATATTAAGAATGAACTGCAAGTGGGTTGCAATTAGTCAGAAATAGGGAAAAGACTTGCAACAGGATTTTTTTTTTTAATTGTCTCTGATTTTATGGAGCTGCAGTCAATATAATTTTCTGGAGGGGGGTGGAGCAAAAGGGAGAAAGGAAAGGACTCAATTGAAGGACCTCAGAACATGTCTAATAGTGAATGCGACACAGATTGATGTAAATCAAATACTTTTTGAAGGGCAGACTTTGGTATTTCATTGGTATGCCCAAAAGTTTGAGTCCAGGCATTTTCATGAACACATTCTTGAACACCATCCTGACCAGCTGGCAGGCCCGTCAGCCCCAACCCACAGCTCTTTTATTAGCCACAGCACAGGTGATGCAAACTTCCTCATGCTTCCCACTAACAGGTTTGGATCTGGTTGTGTAGGACCCACCCTCAAGGGATTAGAGGGGGAAGTTCAGCCTTTACTTTTATTTAGTGCTTTACCTTCCAAATACAAAACACTGTGAGGAGTGTAATCATGGGTATGGTTTTACACAAGGGCCACCTCCCCACTAGAAACGAGCTAGAACCACTGACAGATTTCACGCAGGCCCAACCGCCACCAAACAGTAAGGACTTTTGACCCCTGCCACAAGATGCAAGTGATGGAAGTTACCCTACCAGGAGAGCCTGCCCTCCCTCTCGACAGGATCCCCTCCCTTCAACACCTCCCAGCCCCGTCCACTCACTCTCAAACAAGGCCTGAGCCTTCTGCCATTTCCCTGCTTCTTTCCACCGAAACTCTTCCCCCACCCCCGCCTTTAAATGCCATTAACCACATGAAAGCAGCACCGCGACCGCAGGGCTCTCCCAAGGCAGCTCCAGGGCTCGCGGCACCAGTGTCACAATAGGTGCGGGTGCGGGAGGCCCTCGACTCCGCCGCCGCCGCCGCCACCTCCAACTCCAAACCGGCCCGGCGCTGGCGTGATCCTAGGGCCGCCTCCCCCGAGCCCCGGCAGCCGGAGCGCAGAGACGAGCCCCATTCCGGGCAAGCACGGGGGCGCCGGGCCGCTGCCCCACTTCCGCCACCACCTGCCTCACCCCGCCCCAGCGGCCGCCGCCTCAGGAGAGTCCCGCACGGGAACAGCCCCGGCCCCGGCGCGGCCCTTACACGGTGACATGGCCGGAGCCGCGCACCACCACGGGGTCGGGCGAGTACTTGAGCAGCTGCTCCTCGAGCGCGCGCTCCTCGTCCTCCTCCTCCTCGTAGATCTCGTCGAAGTCCGCCATGACCACGCCGCGCCGGCAGAGAACAGCCGGCCAAGGGGAGCAGCGAGGCCGAGCCGGCGTCGCTGCGGCGCCGGGGCGGAAGCGCCCGTG